TAACGCCAAAGACTTAGTCGTGCATAAAACTGAGCAAATGCATGAGTGTTTGTAAGACTTGGATTTAAACACAAGGGATAGAAAACAAATTTACTGTATCATCAACAATTATTTCTGAAACCCATCAGAAGCCAAGGTGGTGGTGCCAGAAGTCTGTTTAGCGTAGAAACATTCAAAGAGAAAGAGAAGTGGGATTTTGAAGATTGCTGCCTTTAACTCAATCCATTAGGTCCAATAATGGTGGGTCAAACACAGGAGGAAAACATCCCTGCCCAGATTAAAATATAACTGATTATGGGTATTGGAGACATAGTATTTCCCATCACATTTTACAAGATAGACAGGGCTGGCCTTTAAAAACACAGATTTCAAGCTTAGTTGTTGTAAAGAAGAACTGTTTATAATCAACTTAGATTTGACTAAATTATTCAGCAGTGTCTCACAAAAGTCTTACAAAATTAATTTAAATGGTGTTAGGTTTATATGGATTCAGAACCGACTGCAGCGTTTATATAAATAGTTACAATAAATACAAAGGAGGGAGGTGCCTATAGTACTGCAGCAAAGACTGATGGTTAGTCTTAGAGCTAGTTTTAATTAGAATATTCAGCAATGCTTCAGAAAACAGAAGAGCTCCCTTATGTTATGAAATCTGATGAAAATATGCTATTTCCTTGGGAATCCAAAAGAGTAAACACAATAAAATTTGAGTACTTACCAGCAAGACAAGAAAAAACAAAGAGCTGTAAAACAACAAGCTTCTGCCAAATTTAAAGGGATAGTTCTGGAAAAGGAATTCTGGGAAAGTTGCAACCCTGCATTGGGAAGATATAAAAATAAGACCTCTACAAAAAATAAGGTCTTATTATCATAAATAGAATCAGCCAAAAATAATGTTTATATTTCATGATAATTTGTGTATGCTTTTTAAGCTTTTTTTTTTAACTCCAGTTTGAAAAACTTACTACGTTCTCAGCAGACACTTTTACTGCTACTTTTTTGTTGTGTGGGGTTTTTTCATACTTTCTCTGCTTTTCATCCAGTAGGATTGCTGCTGTCAATTTTCCTGTGTAACAGTAAAGTTGACGGAATTATGGTTCTTTCTGTTCCTCACATCTTGCAGCTTGTTTCAAAGCAGCCGTTCCAGGATGTCCAGGTCCCATGCGTGGCCATGTATCTGACTCCTGGCGAAGTCTGGGTATTGCAAGGGCTCTTGGTTCTCTGTAGGGTTTGTTCGGGAGGGTTGTCATGGAGATACAGAGTCTGAAAAAGGCAGTAAAGTCCTTCATGTGGCTGCAGTCTATATGGACAGGCTGCCCACAGCAATGGCCAGGAGAGCTGAGCTGGCAGGGAGCCAGGCAACTTGTGAAAATGCTTTAGCACATTTGCACCTGACATTTTGGCTGTGGTTAAATAGAGTATTGGTGCATTGATGACCAGCTGTTTTCAAAGTCTGCATCCATCTTAAAGGCTTAATTTTATATGAAAATAGCTCTGGGCAAATGACTTTGGTGAGGTAGCATCTTCTTGTCTCTAATCTCACAGCACAGTAATGCTGCATGTCCTAAATGCATGAGAGGAAAGTGAAAAGAGTAACACAGGCTGGAGCAGGTTGTTCGCCAGGAGCCCTCCTCCCACTCTTTTCCCAAAGGAAAGAAGGTTTTAACTTTCTGCATGGGTTAAGCTTCGACTATTTTATCTCATCTGTGCAGGTTTCAAAGGAGGAGGCAGGACTTCTCCTGTGACTAACTGGCTTCTGGCAAGAGTGTGATTCTGAACTGGGCTTTAAGGGACTGTCGTGACAAAGATATAAAAAGTGGTATTATTGGTGAGAAAAGTGATGCTGGAGGTGTAGCTGCCAGAGGAATCAGCCATGCAAATATTTGTTCATTCTGCCTAAAGTCATCATGTGCAACATTGCTTTATATGGCTGGTCAATAAGATGCACAATTTACAAAGTCCTGGCTTCAGGATACCACCATGTTCTGAGCTGAAGAACTGTGACAACTGCAGAGTGGAGGAAAGTGTGAAATAAATTTGAACAGTATTTGTGGCGTTTTCAATGCCTACCTGCTTCACTCCAGTAGGTAAAGAGTGCAGATGATCTGTTCATCAGCACAGCTCTGGCAGGCTGAACCTCCCAAAGGCTGTGATGGCAATTAACTCCCAAATGTTGCAGTTTCTTTGAAATACACTTCCAATTCTTTGAGGAAATTATTATTTCAGAATAAACCAGTTTTTCTTAATCCAGACCTTATTTATTATATTCTGAAGCACACCTTGAAATGCAACACTGAACACAAATTTCTCTTTGATTGGTTTAATGGAAACAATTTTTCTCTTCAGCAAGCACTTGCTTTCAGAGTGAAACCTTAACATTTTACTTTTTATCTGTCTTGTCAATCATTGATTTATTTTTTTTTCTGTTGGCCTTACCTGGAGATGTCATGTACCTCTCAAAATCATGTAATCTGAAAAGATGCTGAACAAAATTATATTTTTCAAACCAGTCAACTAGTTACCAGTTGTTCTGACAAATATGTCACAGATGCACGGCCCTTGAGTGCAAGTTTGCTTAACAAAATCATACCTAATGTCCAACTGTTATTTTTCTGATTTGATATTTCGTATTGTATACTCATGGAACAATTCAGGCTAGAAGGGACTGCAGAGGGTTATCTCATCCACCTTCCTGCTCAAAGCAGGCTCAGGTATGAGATCAGATTGCTGGGGGCTTTATCCATTCTTAAAAACCTCCAAAGATTTTGACACAACTGCATAACCTCTCTGGGCAACCGTTTCCAACACTTGACTATCCTCACGGTGAAAAGATTTTTCCTCATATCTTGCTGAAACCTCTCTTTTTTGTATTTATGTTCATTGTCTCTCCTCCTCTCTGCTGGGTTGGGGCTTGTGTTACTAAGGGCTGTGACAAATAAACCCATTTATTTCTTGTCAGTATTTCTGCATGCATTAGGGAGAACAATTACAATATCCTTCAGGCTCTAAGGCAAAGAATCTAACCAAAATTTTTCTGCTCCTTGTGTGCTGTATTAAAAGATGAAAACTCATCCGTGCATTTAAGGAAAACAGAGTTTCAATGAAGATCTGACCCAGAGACTGGAGAGCACAGTTTTTCCATAAAAGATTTTCTATCATTAAAAAGACTATTGTAACCTAAACACTCTATGATATATTTTCTTTCCAAGGAACTTTTCAATCTCACTGAGCATGCTGAAGTCATTATACAGTTACTAGAGATGCTTCTTTGTCCAAACAGATTTACTACAGGTTACATTTCTGCAGGAGATTAAAAATGATGTATTCATAGATATCCTTCTAAAAATACTCTTCTAAGTAATATGTATCTGCGTCTTCCCAAACCTGGAAGAACATACACGACAGCAAATGAAATACAGCAAATAATTCAGGGCAAATAATAGATAACCATGAGAACTTTTACCACTGTATTTATTTAAATGAGGGAAATACCAAAATGTGAAAGCTGAGCACTTCAGTTTATTCACATATTTTACATTCAAAGGACGAACAGAATTTTTTCTTTTTTTTTCTTTCCAGAAAAAAGTCTCCTCTTGTGGTTCCCAGAATTTTGACAGAGACATGGAATATACTTAGTGAAGCATGTCACTGCAGTGCATACAATGAAAGTCTTGTGTGTATGGAAAAAAGATAAAAACCAAACAAATTTGACCATAACAAAAAAAAAGATTTCCTTTAATATAAATAAAATCCCGAGCAGTGCTTTATTTTAACAGACAAAACAACAGTCGGATTTATTAACAACTACATATTTACAGTGCCTTACTGATAAAAATATTTGGCTTCATCTGAGATCCTAGACACTTCCTGAGAAGGCCATGTGGACTGAGGATTGGCCAGCACTTCGCATAAGCTAGGTGCTAGAAGGGTGAAATTAAAGCATACTTTTAAAGTAAGATGGCAAAGTTGGAACTGATGATACATCATGTTTATGACCTGATCTGACAAAACTTGCACCTCAAGCACTCCCTTTGATTTCAGCAGATCTATGTATGCTCCTAAGGTTAAACACAGGATAAGTGTTTCAAAACCAGGAGCCTCGGAGGAAGACAACTGCTTGACTCGAAGATGCTATGAGTAGAGAAGACTGCTGTAGTTACAATTTTATGTGGTATGGAGGCACATGACCTTGAGTTTAAATCCATGTTCTTCTGCATGGGTGATTTCTACCACTTTACTTTTAATTTGATCCTGCAAGGTCTGGATTCCAAACATCTCTGTCAAGTGACAGACTTGTGAAAGCACCTTCTTCCCACAGCCTCCAAAATCATAGTGCCAGTTTAGCAGATCTCAGTTGTCTTGGCAATTAAATAGAACAAGAACCAGATCTTTTTCAAAGTATTCACAAAATTTCTTTCACTTATAAAATGGCTGTCCCACCATTCTTCTATCAGATCTGACCTCAGCTCTTTAGATTTAAACAGTTCTTTAAAAGTTATAAAAATAAAGAATTGATTAATATACAAATATATATTTCAGAGTGATAAGAGAATAATATTAAACAAATACCTTTTTTAATCTACTTTAAATTAAAAGAAATGTTTTCAGAAGTCGGGGCTGAAGCGGATCTTTATCTATTGACTCTTTAATGGAACCCATTCCTTGCAGATGGCCACATACAACTTCATGTAAGAAGCTCATTACTACAAAAAGACAATGAACGTGTTTCCACTGGCAAAGCAATTCATAATATCTGCTGTGCCAGTTGCTTTTTGGTATCTTACTTTCAAGAACTGCAGATATTTCTAATATTAGAAATAAAAACTAAGTTATGAAAAGTCTTGAGATTCTTTAGAAATATGCTTCTTTCCCTAGTCTTCATTGTTTTGCAGTAATCCAGTTTGTTTTGTATACTGTTTGTATACAGCATAATATAAATGCTCTGCATGAATGCACACGTGTGTAAAAAAACAGTAATTCAGTTAAGAGATATGCGTGCTCATTGGGTCATTTCATACTTTCACAATACCATATTTTTCTGTAAAATCCATAACAACGTTATCTAGGTTGCTCCCTTCTTCCACTGAGATGCTGTTGCATGTTTTCCTTCCCTTTATCTCAAGCAGCCAAAACAGCAAGGGACATTTTTGAACAACCTATAATACTCTTCCTGAATCTGAAATAAAAACATTGAATTCAAATATGAAAAATAGATTTATTAATAGGTCTATATGTCTTTAAACACATTTTGTTCTGCTTCTGCCACTAGATATTTAAGGTGAGGTGGGGATGCTTTTGATTTTAGGACAGAATACTGAAGAAAGTATCATCTCAGGACAGTGTGGGTGAATCCTGCTGCTGACCGGAAAGATCGGAAGTCAGTTTTATCACACACGTTGTGTTATTTCATCGGGTTAATGGTATTATAACCAGCTTTACAATTCAAGAATTTTTTTTCCATGTTTCATACATTGGTTTTAAAACTGGGAGGAAATATTTGAGAAGGTAAAAATTGGTCAGAAAACTGGGAGGAAATATGTGAGAAGGTAAAAATTGGTCAGAGGTTCTGTCTCCACCGAAGGCAATAGCAAAATTTCCCCTCTTCCCTCCTCTTCCCCGTTAATGGCACAAAGATTTCCTCTATTGCTCTGACAAAATATTTGCACCACAGCTCCACTGCAGGACTGGGACACAGGACTGCTTGAGTCGCTTCCCACAAAAAATGGGACACTTACCTTCCTAGACAACACACAAAGAAATATGAAGATGAACATCCCCTGGAAAGCGTTGAAGATTGTAAAAAGATATGCAGTAACCACAGATCCCTGGACGACATGGAGGACCCCGAAGATCCAGGTAGCCCCAAGGAGGAAAAGCAGAGCAAGAGCACCCCGGGCACAGGATCTAGACAGGAAGGAAATATTGTGAACAACACGAGGGCACGTGCTGTTTTCCTTCCTTCGCCACTTTGGATGGTGAATGCTTCCTCGGCAATTTTTTCACAGCTGCCAAGGCCTGAGAAGTGCAAATGCATGGGCTGCTCTTTAGGGTGTGCTGTAGCACTGTGGCACAAATGAGCTCACATAATCACTGCAGAAGAGCAAAGGAATAAAACTGGAGGGCCTTAAAACACTGGCTTCTTTAATCTTCAGATGTGTTTTCTCTGGTATACTGCAGCACCATATGATTTGATTTAAATCTACTGTTAGTGTAATTCCCCAAGCAAAAACATATGTCTGTTATGAAGCATTCCCCCCACTTTTTCTCCTCCCCCTTATCTTCCTCAAAAAATAACCCAGAAAAATGTACAGTATGCTCTTAGGTCAGTACATGTGCATGACATCAAAGGGTTCCCAGGCTGCCTTTTCAGGTTCACTGCAGAAGACAGTGCCAATTGTAAAACTAGACTTCCATTCTTTCATTCTTTCTCTTTAAAAAAAAAAAATTGTTTTTAGAACACAAATACTCTCAAATAGTTCCTAGGTCAGCATATTGAAGCTTCAAAATTATAGGAACTGATTGGCTATGATTTTTTTTTTTCAAACATGCTGTAGAGCCCTGCTCACAGACTTGAGCAAATTACAGCATGTTGTCTTGGAAATGAAGCCACTGATTACTTTCTTATTCATTCTCAGCCCAGTCATTGCAGGACTTCCTTTGAACAACAGACATTTTTAGCACTGTTCCTCTGAAAATGAATAATTTTCAGCTTCATTAAAACCAGCTCACCACATGAAGCTACGAAGGGTGAGGAATAAGAGAAAGTAATCAATCAAACAATTGCTAAATCCTAACTATAAATGTAGTGCAATGCATTGAAACTGCAGGAGCGTTCCTAAGCAACACAAACAGCAAGTTGTTTTCAATGTTCCCTGTAGTACACTTCAGCTTTTCCTGCACAAACGGTTTTCAAGGTCTCTATAAATCAGTTTTAAAGAGAATGAGTTGATGGAAAAATCATAGCAGCATGCAAAGTAAAAATCTTGGAGAGAAAGCTCCCCACCCTCCCTCACGACACAGATGCACAATGTCCTACTGTAGACTTTTTACAAATAACATGAATGATTCTCTTATCACTGAATTACTTGTTACTTCAAGGCAAATATTTTGATCCTAATGCAGGCATAAGTTTTGAAATCTGGTTTGGTATGCATAGAGGCTCTGGAATGTATTTAAGAAGAAAAGGACAATTATTTCTTTAACCTTGCCGTCAGCCTTTACCCTCCAGTTGATACGGGCCACTCGTATTCCTCCTACATCTCTCACAGAACCCCACTGTTACTGTACAAGGTATTGCTCAATAGGAATAATGACTGCAAAATCTACCTCCAAATCTATATGAGGGCATAACAGAAAAAAACCACCACCATCTTTCTTTTTCTACAAATCTTCCAGATTAAACTGTTATTTTTGAATACTTACTTTCATCTCTGGCTATATTTAAACGTACAGAAAGTAGAATTTGTATTAAATGGTAAACTTACCTTATATTCTCATAACAACTAACTTCTGGCTTTAACATTGCAGTGTGTCGAAATACTTTATAAATAATCACTCCGAAAGCCAACAAATTAACCTGGGGGGAGTGAAGAAAGGAACTTTTAGTTCAAACCAGGATGCTTTTGAATGTCTGTAGCTGTTACACGTTTAAATGAAACAAGTCAGATAAAGTTTCTGTGTATTTGAAACCTACAGAATCCAGTGCCGGGAGGGGAAAAAAGCCACCCTTTTCTGATCCACTTCTATTAAAAAAATATGAGCCCTGTAATAAACATTGATCAAACAGGGCTGTAACTCTACCTTATCTCAACAGCATCACTAGAAAAGAAAAGAAAAGAAAAGAAAAGAAAAGGAGAGAAGAAGAGATGAGAAGAGAAGAGGAAAGAAAAGAGAAAGGGAGAAAACCAAAAAAGCCCATGCCCCCCATAGATTTTCTATTGTACCGTATTGCGTAGGTCTTGACAAAACGTATGTCTTTTGTTGCTGAATAACATTAATAACATCGTATGTTCTGAGCTCTTTGGGGTGTGAAAACTTTCAAATGGCACAAGAAAACTTTGAGGTTTACACAAAGAATTTTTAAAAAACTAACTTTGGTTGAAAGGCTCCTTACTGCGTATTCTCTTCTATATTTTATGTTTGTTTCATAGGTGAATAATTTCAGTATGTTTTTTTTCCTGCCTTCTTTATAATGGCATCGCTTTATTTGAGTTTGAAACAGAAAAAGGCAACTAAAAGAAGCAGTTTTGCAAATGATGCTCATTTACGGTTCTGAACCTCTGTTTGCTCAGCTAGGCTTCACTGGTCTTTCATTTAAATTTATACTGCATTCCTTTAACAAAGTGGATAGGTTTGCTTGCTTAAAAAATTCTTATTTATCTTTGCAGCATTTAACATGAAACTCTATTAAAAATGTTTGTAAAGGAACCAAATTTTAGCTGGATATCATCCAGATACTACTTGTAGATCCTTAGTTGTAATCCCTTGGTTGATTCCTGTGGGCTTCCAGCTGTAGAGTGAATAAAATTAATGTCTTCCCCAACTTGTCTCTCCAGAAAGACTGTGTGGTTTTCCTCCCTCCTTCTTTTTCTTTAAAAAAACCCCTCCGAATTGAAAACAAAAGGCTGCAGTAGGAGCACAGCATCACTGTGAAAAGAATCACTTTCATTTTTTAACACTTGTTATGTATGTCCTTAGAACATTTTTGCTGTGTCAAGGGGGGAGTATCTGATATTAAATGCAGGCTCTGTTTTAATTAGCTGCATGCTCATACTTTAATACAGCATAATGTATTTACAATTTGATAAGACAGGAGATAGAGCTGATTAGCAGTTTAGGGAATTAATCCTTCACTGAATACCTTGTACTTGCGTTGATCGTGAGAGCTATTCTGAAGCTCCTTATATTTAAAATTGTAATCTGTAATATCTCCTAAACCAGCAATTTTTCAAAGTTAATTATAAGTCAGTCAGCAGTTGTGGGTAATTATATGCAGACTTACTTTTTGTCTTATATTTGTTGGTGAATAATATATCAAATAACTTAGTGCACACACTGTAATCTGCATAACCCAGCTAATGTATTTATTAATCTGAAAAATGTAGGGTGAAATGTGATCAAAGCACCATGAGCACAGAGAATACACACCGCTACTTCTTCAGAAAATGTTATCAAGATCACAAGCACAAACGATGCAACCAACCTTCCCCTCTGATGGCCTGTCACCAAGACCACTAATGTCAAGTAGAGCCTTCCTATTGCCATTAACAGGCTCTGGAAGAAGCTCCATGAGCCAAACTCCGTTATCCTTCAGCCACATAAACCAGCTGCAGAACTGGAGAGGTTTTGCTGAGCAAGGATGGGGCAAGCAATGGGCAGATGTGGGGCCTTGTGGCAGTGGACTCCATTTCTCTTTGTCCCAGCAGGGCTCCTTTAGACAAATACTATTTACACTGTCCATTGCACAGGATAATAGGATTTGGCCCTCTGCATTAAAGTAATACCCATTAACTATGATCTTTTCATTCATCAATCCATTCTAATGGGAATAATCTGTATGTATCGGGGGAGCGAGAGAGGTTAATGCCGTCTTCTTGGAGTCAGCTGCCAGAACCCAATTATTGTAAAATACGTCTCAGGTAGCCTCGCAGGAGGTAGTGTTACAGGGTAATGAGGGTAAGCTTAACTTCTGAAATACCCGGTCATTTCCAAGATTTATTAAAGCCTTAAGTCGGTTTTTGTCCCATTTTGAAGAACTCCATTAATAAAAAACACGTATAGCAAAGTACATAGACTGCCCTAACACAACGTTCAGTGTCTCAGAACAGTAGCTTTAGGCAACATAGCAATTCTTTTTTTTTTCTTTTCAACTCTAAGTTAGAGTCCGCTGGCACTGTATTTTGTCCTTTGGGGGACAAAATAGGTAAAACCAAAGTAGTTATAACTGTGCTACGACACAGAAATCCAGCAAAACTTGAGGGAAAACATGAACTCATGGGTAAATCCAGGAGAAAAAACTAGTTAATGCTAATAATGTGTCAAGTGTGGCCTTTAAAGAAGACTGGTAATCTAACAGGCATCCTAAGCTTAACGCCTTCTGCTTTGACCTGATACCTTGCATGTTCTTTGCTATGCACATACCAGTAGTCTCAGGTATATCTGTGAAATGTAAAGTAGAAAGTTCACATTGGACGGTTGGACTGAGCAGGAATACTGAGAAGTTGGGCTGAGTAGGACTGAAGGAGAAACGGCCTTTAGATAACTGATATGCCCAAAGAGCTATTCCTGTTGCAACAAATGGGACAGGAAGTCAAATCACCCAAAATGCCCGGCCAAGGGTACAACCACTGAAGACTTTTAAGTTTGTATCCAAAACCAAGCTTCAAATGAGCACAAATGGAAGTTGTAGGCTGTAAAAGGCATCCACAATACAGATAGCCACAAGGCAACCTGGATTCCCAAATCTTCCAGCTGGGACAAACTGAGGGATGTCTGGATGAGAGACACTGAAATACCCAAAAAGGCTTCAACTGCTGCTTATAGACAAATACTGTGGTTCATGCTTAGTTTGGTTGTAATTGCGTGTTTTCATTTTTGTAATTACAGCACAATCTTCAGGTCTTGTTGAATAAACCTTTGATGACGTTATAATTAAGGCTGCCTTAAGGTGACAGGCAAGGTGAATGAGAATGAAATGGCAAACATAAGGCATGCTGTCTCTGGAGAGGCAGCAAGCTGGCGTAGAGCAAGATGTGCAGGCAACTGTGAAACCAAGCTGAGGACAGGCTTTGCACAAGCCTGGAAAGGGACAGGGTGGGACTGCTGCTGCCACACGCCGGCTTTGAGGAGAAGTTACCTGCATAATGAGCAGAGCTACTCCGCAGCTTTGGGCAGACCCAAAGTGTGCAGCGTTGTGGCATGGCCACAGTTCTATCAAGTGAATAACGACATTACACTGTGACACGGTAAGTTCTTGTGCCTTTGTTTTCAGTGTTATTACTTGGCTGAGCCGTCAGAGAAACTGCTGCATGTCCTGAGAGCGGCTTCTCGGTGAGTCTAATAGGCTAAAGTGGAACTGCATTGATTCCAAGCCCAGAACTGAATTCTTTTTTTTTATATTTATTTAAGAAACCACCCCAAACTGCTACTGGGTAACGGGTGCACTCAGTCCTTACTATTGCACAAAGGAAATCTCTGACTTTCTCCCTGCAAGTCCAATTCTGTGAGGCACTGAGCATCCTCAGCTCTCCCTCCCCTCAAGAATCAGTGGGAATCAGGCTTCACTCGGCGAGCTCAGGTGCACTACAGGACTAATTTTAATAATTAATCTATTCCTTTTTTTTTTTTTTTAAAGTGGTTAATCAAAGACAAGGGCTGATATAGGAGCAGCCTCCTCTCATAGCATCTTCAGGGAATCATTTCTCCTTAAAGATATTTGTAAAAGTATTTTTAGCTTTCTTAAATTCTAGAAATGTTGTGGTATATTTATGAACAAATGGTAGGAAACATATTTATATGAAACAGACATTAAATAAGGGCAATAATTAGGATCCCATGAAATCAAGATTCTGTAGATATTGGCAGCTACATTTATGTATCTGTATAATGCAGGATAATCTCCAAGAAGGCACAAATCTGTCTGAGCTGGGTTTTATTGTACATCCATGACTGAGTTTAAAGGGAGGATGGCAAGTGTTTGGTACATCTCTCTTGGGGCCATGAGGATTTAGGACTTTGGAGTGACTTCTGGCCCCATTAAACCAATGGCAGAACTCCTGTTAAACAGTAAAACTCCCATTGCCTCCAGCGTTGTCACAGCTTTACCTCTACACATCACAGAGAGTGGCAGTCTCAATGGAGGCAACAGAGGGCACTGCTGTGGGTTTCACTCTGCAGATTAGCACTTGTACGTATCGCAGATGCACGGTGTAGTACAGAGCAGGATAGTGACATTTTTCTGCAGCTGTGTTTTGGGGATCTTCATGGTGCAGTTCCCATGTTCACAACTGTGATGTTGATGGGTAAGATACAGCAGGTATGCAAGGAAGAGTTCCAAGCTGTCTGGACTGCTACAAGGCCTGGGACCAGATCTGACCGACAGCCACAGCATCAGTCTGGATAATTTCTTCTTGTAAAGAAATTCACAGGAGAGAAAAAGCAATTGCAAATTCAAAGAAATTTCCTGGTGCTTTCCTAATCATCTTGTCTACAATAAGGAGGTTTCACCAAAGGCATTAGCCTGGGGAGCTCTGTTCAATCAATCATATATATTTTAGGTTAGGATGGGAAAAATGGTGCATGGTGTTAACCTACCTCTACTTAGAGCTAGGATGGCTCTGTAAATCTGTTTTCAGATTTACATCCCTCCCTCTGTCTCAATACTACCACAGCTTACTGAACCGAGTAATTCTGCATAGGCTTTCGTAATGAAGGAAAACTGCCCAGTGGCGGGTAGAGCAAGATACTGCTGCTTTGGCTTCTACTCCTAGCAGTTCTGGGACCACTGCAGCAGGATTTCACCCATCTGTAGTTTGTAGAAGAAAGTAATAGAGTTGTATTCATATCAAGACATAATAA